GTTGGACATTTCGAGATGCGACGACATGCGCGGTGGTAGACAGCTTTGCAGCTAGAGTTGGGAGGGTAGCGGGACCCACGCATTATTTGCTGTACCTTGCGCTGCCGTACAAAGTCACCACATCGCAAGTGCGTGCACACACAGCTCGATTACGAAGACGACGCTTCCGACTGCCGAAAATTGAGCGTCGACGGCGCGACGCCAAACGTGTCAGGTAGCGGCAGCGTCGGGAAGTTGGCACGCAAGATTGTCTTGATCATCGCGTTGTGGTGGATCGCGTGGTGTACAGCGAACGCCATTTCGCGCTCGATGGTCGAGGCGAGCTGCACCTCGTTGCCGTCGGCGGTGAGCATAAAGGCGGCGCGGACCGGCGACGTCAGGTGTGATGGCGCGACCGCCGCAGCTAGCGACAAAATGTGGTCCATTTCGTCCATGGCCGCGACGCGGTCCAGCTCGATCGCTGTGTTGCGGACGCGAATGTCGTAGCGGATGTGGCCAGCGTGGTCGACGTCGAGCGACCGGCGAAGGTGGTCGAGCGAGTGGCGGACGTGCCCGCCCGTCGTGCCCATGAGAATTGGGCAGCGAAAGACGTACATGTCGTTCGAGAGCGTCTGAAGCAGCGCCGACTGCTGCTGGAGGATCGCTCGGAACGCCTCACGGACTGCCATTTGGGGCCGTCCAGAAAGTGCAATGTCACATTATTTAAAAACACACAATACAACTATTTTATTGTATGTATTAAAATGACACCACGCAAGGACGACTGCGCCGCGTATCTTTCGTCGCTCGTCAGCATCGCCCGTCGGGTGCGTGCCGACACGATGGCGCCGTACGGATGACGACGCGCGCGTCAGCACGTATCATGCTACTCGGCGCTCTACTGCCTACGCCAGTGAATTGAGTCGCCGTACAGGCGGAGGTATATCGAACCAAGGGTTAAGAACTATGTTCTACCAGTGACAGAGCAATCTCACTCGAGCTGCGAAAACGAGCTCTGTTGTTTGGCAAGAAATGCCAAAGAATTTGTTCAAGCCGCTCTTTTCTCGATGCGAATTTGACGCCACACGGAGTAAATCCATTGGACCGATGGCAACTTGAGCTAGTCGGACCAACTTGCCTGAGGCGACGGGAGATCCGTCCTACTAGTACGTTTTCCTCGGTCCATGCGGCTCTCTTCTCGGTCGTGCTGGGCATTTGGACGCCCAAAAGAAGCTCATCCAGACGATCTTGGACACTTGCCTACGGATTCATGACGTCGGCTGCACCCGCAAGGCGACGCGCGCCACGGTGAGCTGCCACAATTGAAACACATCGGAATGCGATGCTTTGCACGTCCCCAATCGCGTCGAGTCAACAACGAGACCGAACGCCGTAGCCGCCATACGATCGACACCCAAGATACGTTTTCCAGGCCTCTGATTGGTGCACGCCATCGAGCGAAGCGTCGCCACAAGATCCCACGTACCAGCATGTACGTCGTCCGTGATGCTCGCAGTCTTTTCTCATGCGACATAGGGCGTCGTTCGAGATTGCATCCATCGATGCCTCCTTCTGCCCAAGCCCCAACACATGCGCCATGGTGACGTGGCGCGTTGAGAGCATGCCACCCAGCTCGTGCGCGCTGCCGCCCAATGCGACCGACTGCACTCTTGCATTTCGCCTGCACACGCTGCAAGACAACGTCGAGACCACGAGCGTCTGGGCGAATGCTTCGTTTATGCCCTTGAGCGTCTCGCAGTACTTTTACGTGGCCGCCGCCTTGCCGCGGAATGCCACGTCGGTCCAGTACCAAGTGTCGCTGCTCGTGCTACCGGAGGCCGACGCAACACAACCTGCGCGCACGTGCCCGTCTTCGTGTTTTGGCGCCGCGAGCTTCTTCTCGGGTATCTCGCCAGCACTAGCCGCGTCATCGATCCCCAGTGGCAACTCGACAATGGTTACCATCGTGCGGCCACCGGACGACGAGCCATCCCTGAACCTCGCGCTGATCCTCGTAGGCGCTGTCCTGGGCGCCTTGATGCTACTGAAGATGCTTGTTTCCGTCGTTGTGTGGGTACAAGCGCGCAAGACGTC